CTGAGAAAGGGCTGCTTTGTCCCTTGTTCAAGCATCCAGAAGCAAACCAAGAGCCAGCCTTAATGGCTGAGCTTGGTGTGTGTGTGTGTGTGTGTGTGTGTGTGTGTGTGTGTATACCACAATGACACCTGAATGGCTGAGCTTGGTGTGTGTGTGTGTGTGTGTGTGTGTGTGTGTGTGTATATATATATACCACAATGACACCTGAAGGGCCACCTATACTCAGACAGGACAGGCCAGAAAGAGGCCAATCCAATCAGAGAAGACAAACCCTCCTGGAGCAATGACCTCAAGAAGGTGCCAAGGATTTAAAGGGGCCTGTTCTGGCCATGGCTAGGTCTCCTCTAAGCTCTTGGCAGGAGGTGGCAATGTAGCTGCTCTTAGGGCTTAGCTCACTGCTCTCAGGAAAGACACTAGGTAAGGCTGGGGGCCCAGCTCAAACACACACCCTGGACTGTACTCCTCATCCAATAGGGCTCACAGCTGCACCAAGACACTGCAGAGACCCCAGACTTCAGCCAGTGATGATGTCTGCCAGTCAGTCCTGTCTGCTGCCTTCTCTCAAGCTCTCAGAGACTTTATGATCAGGGCCCCATCCCTGGGAACAGGTGAAGATGTCCACTCTCCTCAGCTCCCTACCCCTCACTGAGACAAGCAGGAACAGCTGGGCCAGGACACCTGTTCCCAGCCCCATGCTTAGTCCAGGGCCTACGATGAGGTCCACGAAAGGGGAGCTGACCAAGAGGAAGGCAGGTATAGGGGCCAGAAGAAAGAAGGGCCCAGAGGCGAAGGGGAGAGATGCAGCCAGAAGTACCACTTCAAGATGCATTGCCCTCACCCACCATGCATACTGGAGAAGAGCCACTGGACTCAAGGTCAGCCCTCCAGCCCTGCCCTTGTGTTACTTCATCTACTGAAGCAGGACAAGCCCAGGAAAAAGGCCTGCTTCCCTGGCCTCTGGCTGGACCCATCTTGGTTTGTTATTCTCCAGGCCCTCAAACTCAGTGAAGGTGCTATTCCTAGCAAAGATCCCAGGATACCAACAGGACAAGTTTGGAGACTAGGGAGCAGCTGGCTTGACTAGGGAAGCAGGCCTAGCTCAGCTTCCCAGATTTCCTCAAAGCCTCCTTAGTCCTTATCCCCACACCATAGGTGTCTTGGTTCTGGGGCTGAAGGACTTGGGGGTGGGGTATACACTACAATCCTTCTAACAGAACCTTCTTCCTTGATGCCCTGTGCTCCAGCCCTCTTCCCCCCAACACTACTTCCCACTTAGCCCCTGAATCCCTCTCCTATTTGCCTCAAGCAGCAGCTCCAGGGGCCTGTGTGTCACTTTTCATTGGGGCTTTCCCCCATGGTGGTGAAATCTGAAGGCATTATCTCTCAGGAGTCAGAGCAACCCATCCCTAAATCACCACCAAACCCTCCTCTGGATCCTGGGTCTGAGACCCATGATACTGGACTATGGTCAGGGGCACCAGCCTACGGCCTTTCTGCCACAAGTGGATGTCTCTTTAGCCTAGATTGAGCCCTCAAGGAAAGCGTCACTAGTAAGTCATCAGTCTCCCAGGCTCAGTTTCCCTGATGATGATAAGGGCAGACAGAGCTCATTTTTCTGCTACCCTGCCCAGCTCAGTGCTCCACACACAGAGATGGACAGCACTTCTTTCCTCCAGTCTCAGGGATCTCAAGTCTTCATTTCTATTTCTGAAACATATACCCTGTTAAACAACTGGGCATTCACAGGGATGGCAGAAGGGAGAGCTAGGAATGGGCAGGAGGCGCCTTCCCTTGTGGCATGCTGTCTGCCCAATGCCAGAGGAGTGGCCCTAGCATAGCCAGAGGCACCACGCCAAGGTCAGTGACCAGGCCAGAGCCTCATGGGAGTGTAAGTTTAAATGAGTAAATATGGTCCTGCCTGGGTGTGGCCAGCCACAGGCTAGAGCTTGGTCACTCCCTCCAGCACCCTGAAGAAGGGGCATCTTAGGCAGGCAGCACCTCAGTCCACACCACACTCCAAGTCCTGCCTAACTCAGCCAGAATGGGAGTGGAGAGGTGGCACGTGGCCTGGGTCATGGGAGGCAGATATGGAGGGCCTTGGGGACCACCTAGGCCAGGGATCTGCCCCAGATAGAGCAGAGCCACCTCACTCATGGGGTGTGGGGGGGGTGGAGACAGAGGCCAGCACAGACCACCAAACACACGGGTGTCTATGTCACTAAAAGGGTAAACTTTGTGCACCTGAAAAACTGAGGCTGAATGGGGAGAGGGTGACTTACCAAAGGACTTACGCAGGAGGATCACAAGTTCACGGCCTTTCTTGGCTATGTAGGGAGTTTGAGCTTGGGGGGGGGGGGGGGGGGGGGGCAGGGAGCAGAGCAGCAGAGGGGAGTGGACGTCAGCCCGCACTCCCTGACTCACAAAGTATGCTCTCCACAGACAGACTCTGCCTGCCCATCTGTGTTTCCACCTCAACCTGCTCCTGCCGGGGCTCTCTGGCTCTGTATGTCCTTCTCCTCCCTGCCTCCAGTTCCTTACCACCCTCCACACTCCAATCCTTTAATCATCTTTGCCACTGGTGCCCCCACCCCCGCAGCAACAGCTGCTCTGTGGGAGTCACACCCCCAAGGATGCCTCAAATCTTCCTGATGTGTGCCATGACCTGCTGCACTCGGACAGGTGCAGAGACCTCCCCTAGCCTACAAGCTGGGGAAAGGGGCTCAGAGGTCAGCCTTCCTACAGCTCCAGGACACACTCAGAATACTTTCTGTCCTAGGCAGGGAGAGAAGAGAATAAATATTCCAGGAGCCAAACAACACCAGCCTCACTAGATCAAGGGTCACAGCCTTTTTAGCAGAGCCACTGGAGAGTGCCTAAGATCCCCCTTTTTTTCTAGGTCAAGCTAAGACTCCTCTCTTCTCTAACCTGGCTTCACTGGGAAGTCCTTCCTCCAGTAGCCTGCTGTAACTGTGGAGAGGGCAATGCCAACCACTACACAGCCAGATATCCAGCTTCTACAAAACAGCTCCTGGCATCTGATGCCACCCTTTCCCCCCATGAGTAAGTTACAATTTGGGACAGAAGGACAGAGGGTTGGCTGGACTCTGGCCCCATGACTACCTCATAAAAGCCACCAGAAATTATGGCGATGCGGAGGTTGTACAGCAAGCCACCATTCTTCCTCCCGCTTCCCAGTAAAAGGGAGGTAATTGTCTCAAGCCATTTGGCTTCAGAGAGCCTGGGGAGTCCCAGCCATCATCCCATGGGGAAGAGAGAGCCTGCCACCACAGTACCACAGCCCCCAAATCTGATCCTCAGCTACAGACTTTGGGCCCCCCTTATGAACCTGGACAGCACCAACTGTAATTTGCAGCCCACAGTGCCCATCTTGCCTGCAGGTCTTCTTTAGTAGGCTACACTGTCTGTACTGAAAGGCAGAGAAGTCGGGGCAGCAGGGAAAACCTACTTGTGTGTCCAACAAGGGCCCAGGCCAGGAACAATCAGGGAGGGAAGGGGGGCCCAGTTGGCAGGGAAGAGAAGGTTGGGAGGATGGGCAGAGGTCCAGGCTGGGGTACAAGAGCCAGGGACACTCACTACAGCAAAGGTGCCTTCCCAGGGCAGGATCAGGGAACCCAAACCCCACCCCTGGGCTCAGCTCCTAACCTGGGTTGACAAGTCTCCCTCCACCTTTCCCAGCACACCTCCCAGGAAGACCAAGGGGGAGGAGAAAAAAAAAAACCCTGCTGGAGAGAGATTATATAACGGCAGCCAGCCAGCCTGCCTGTCACATCACCTAGCAGCCTATGAGGAGTGCCAGGAGCCAGAGGGCCAGAGCAGGGAGTAGGGCCTCTCTAGCCCAGGATCGCCACACAGAGGGGAATGGACAATGGACAGTTCAAGTCCCTCACACCCAGTTTCAAGCACTGGGTTCAGCAGACAGAGGAGGCAGCACAAACCCCGGGCCCATCCCCCAACACAAGGCTTTGGATGTTTTCCTACTGGGTTGTTTCTCCCCTTGACCCACAGCCTATAAGAGCAAGGCTTGTATGCCTTCCTTCCTTGAGTCTCCCTGACATGACAGGAAGCTGTGCCTGAAAGAGGGGAAGGACTAAACTCTGACACAGATTTGCTGTGTGATCCCAGACAAAAAGCTCAAGCTCTCTGGTTGCTCCCATAGTGAATGAAAGCTCCTGCCTGCCCCAGAGAACCTTCTTACAAAAAAGTACATGTACACAAACACATATGAGAGCACACACTTGGTGTGTGGAGGGCAGAGGAATCATAGCCAAGAGAAAATGACCTGAGATTTGAAGGCACCAACATTCATCCTGGGCAAATGGAAAAAGCTAGAAATAAGCTCCAGGGACCCCCAAGCACCCCATATAACAAGGTCCTCAGCCACTCCCACAAGCATCCCACCCCACCCCCATCCTGGAAGATGCAGGAAGGAAATTCATTCAGAGGCAGGCCGTGGGAGCTAAGACAGCCAGGCTGAGCACTGAGGCTTAGTACCCAGTGGCCAGATGCAGGGTGTCTGGGAACACTCGCCTCCCCAATGCTCCCCTCAGCTGAGATCTCAGCTAGGCTCGGAGGGGAATGGAAGGTGGACAGCTCCAAGTGTCACTGCACCCAGTAGGCTCCCCTCTGAAAGCCAGCCAGAGCAGCCCAAGGTCACCGTCCCAGACGGCAAACTTCCCACAGTCAGGCAGTCGCGACCCACTGAGGGTTGGGGGAGGGGGAAGAGCCACTAAGCCAAAGAGGTTAGGCCTCGGAGGGAAACTCAGGCGGGGAGGGCTGGGTGCAGGATCCACCCACTGTACTCCCCCAGCCTGGCCCCAATCGCGAGTCTGTCGAAGGCTGGCACTCAGGACCAGCTGCGTAACCCGAGGCTACCGGGAGCGCCGAGGGCTGCGGAGAGGTCCGAAGACTCTCCCCTTCTGTGTGGGAGGCTGGGTGCATCTCAGTCCCGTGGGCCGGGCTCCCCACTCGAACCCTACTACCGCTCTGTCGGTTCGGCCTGCACGGCGGAGAGGTCCTTCCAGATGTGAGCAGCCGCAAACTTCTGGCCAGGGGTTCTCCAGCCGGCGGCGTTGACACACCCAACTAGGGGTCTCCGCGGTCGGGCCGGTTCCCAACAAGGGTCCCGTCTGGAGCCCAAGGCGGTGGCCGGAGCCACGTGCGCTCGTCCGGGTGCGGTCGGCTGGGCGACCCTTCCCTGCTTTCCCAGCCTCGGCTGGGACCCCGGTGAGCGCCGGTGGCTAGGGGCGAGCATGCCAGGCGCGGGAGGGCGGACACGCAGAGGTGGCGTCGCCGGGGCCACTAAGCCACCCGGCCGGGCCCTCCGCTCCTCTCGCTGGTCCCCGCCGGTCCGTACCGGCCCCGGGGCGCCCACGCCACCCGTCGCGCTCCGACCACCCTCCGACAGCCGCGCGGCATGGGGGAGGGGCTCTTAAAGGGACCGGCGCGTAGCCACTCACCAGCCCGCGGGGGAACAGGGTGTCACGCGCGGGGCCTCGCCCTGGTCCGCAGATCCTCAGCGCGCGTAGCCGTAGCTCGGGCGGGGAAGGCGGAGGCGCGGTGTCCGCGCGGCCCTAGGCGGCGCCGCAGGGCCTGGACCCCCGTGCTGTGCGCGGGGGCGGCGGCGGCAGTGAGCGGCGGGGACAGGGCCGAGCGCCCGGGCCGCCTCGACAGTTGTTGATATTTTGCTTCCTTCCTCCTTTAGGGTTCCAAAGGCAACTCCTCCAGCCCCCGAGTCGAGGCCGACGTAGGCACGGCGCAGCCTAGCTTGTAGGGTGGGGGACTAGGGTGACGGACAGGCGGAGGGGCCAATGGAAGGGCCCGGAGGGCCGGGGGCGGGGCCTGATGGGGCGGACCGCACTCGGCCCCGCCCTCTGCCCTCGGCCGTCCGGGCTGCGTTGGTCCCACCCCGCCCTGCCTGCGGCCGGGGCGCGGGGAGCGCAGATCCCTCCGCCTGCCCGACCCGGTGAGACCAAGGAGGCGGCGTAGCCGGAGACACGGGGGACCGGATCAGGCGGGTGCGCGGCTCGGGGTGTTTCCAGGCTCTCCGCCTGCGACCTCGGCACCCAGGCCACAGAGTTGGCAGGGCGTCCGAGTAGATAAGTTCAGTGTTGGGAAGGCTCCGTTCCTCCACTTACTGTGTGTCAAAGCTGCAGTTCAGGCCACCTTTTCTTTGGGGTTACCAGGGGAGCTCGGCGGCTCCCTCTACCTGTGACAGGTCCCCTTCCCTCCTTGGGCCGAGCTCGGTTGACGCCCAGACATTTAAAGCGACAGCCCATAGTTCTCGGGTGACCTAATCGTCAGTGTCTGCGGTCCCAGGGCTCTTACGGGCCGAGGGGGCAATTTAAAGGGGCGGGACCCCAACTACCAACTCTCGCGTCTCACAGGAAACATCCAGATGCGACTATTAAAGAAGCAATACTAGCTCTTAAAAAAAAATCCTTTTGAATTCCTGGTTGCTTCAAGGTGTGGTGAATTTTTAAGTGTTCCATAAAGAAAGAGAACATGGTACCTCTGATCACTGACCTCCTCAGGCTTCTTGTCCTGTATGTCCAGTATCCTATCCTGTTACGTCCAAGTACTCCGCTGGCTTTCTACCTGGAGCGTGAGAAAATGATGGAGTCTTTTTTAGACTTCAAAGACTTGCAGAACAGAGAAGTGTAAGGTTCTTCACAGGCTGGGGTCTGATTTACTGGACACAGTCTTGGGTTCTGGGAGAGAATTTGCATGAAGAGGTAATGTGTGGTGGGTTAGAAATATAAATTTTGTAAGTCAGACTGCTTTGATTTAAATGCTACCATCACTAGGAGCAGATGATAGTACATTACTTGATACTTTTTGTCCTCTTGGGTGAAGATGGAGGTGGTGAGAATAGCACCTAACTCAAGAGTTTGGCGTGAGGATTTAGGTCCCTGTAGACTAGTACAGTGCCTAATGCTTCATTGTAATAAACCAGGGACTATTGGACCATGGCCTGTTCAACCCAAACAGGGACTAGGTCCCTGTGAGTCCAGGAAAGCCTCATGGGCCACAAGTTCAGTGGGATGGTTCTGGGAGGAGCTTGAAGGCTTATGTGTACCTTATGTGTTTAAAGAGGAAGCTAGCAGGCTCTTACTCCCTTGGCCTCAGTTCCAACCCTTCTACCTGACCTCTCCTTCCTGGAAACCTGATTGTGGTCCCTAAACGTAGCTCTTTGACTTCCTAACTAGTATGAGAAGTTGGGCTCCCAGCTCAGAGATGCCCGTTCTCCCTGCCAATCAAGGCTAACTTGCCCCAAAGACTTCAGGGTAGTCAGGGGACCTGTCTCTCCCCAAGGATTTGGAGAGCACATCCTAGTTGGGGCTTGAGGCTGTGGTGGGGGCAGGATGGGAAAGTGCCCTCCCCTCACTTGTGGCCTCTATTTTTAGTGCTTCCCCAGGCTTTAGCGACAGAAACCGTTTAGTCATCAGGGTGTTTATTTTCCGGCTGTTCCAATGTCGGGAAAAGCAGAATGTTGAGACTGGAGAGATCCAGGGCTGCTGGAAAAGACTTCTTAGGAACGGGCCTGGGAACACAGACTTCAGACCACTGGGTCCTAGCTCATAGGAAAAAACAAAACAGGATGGGCACTGGGCAGCCAAGCCCTCGGGAGAGTTTTCAACCTGGCTCAATCTTGGAAGCTCTCCAAACTAGAGAACCCTCTTGTCCAGCTCTGCTTGAAGATTCTCTCTCAAAACAAAAGGAAGCTTAGAAGAAATTCATCCTCATAATCCCCTCCACAACCTCCCCGTTGATCAGCACCATGAGCCTCCCGCCAACCACAGCTCCAGCCAATCTCAAGCCTGAAGCCGGCCTTCCAGAGCTATGATTGGCTGCTTGGTCCTCCCAGGCCTGGAATGTTGGGTCCTTAACAAAGGAATGAGGAAGGAAGGTGAGTCACCCGGGGAAGGTATTAAAGGGCCAGCTAGAGGGAAAAGGAAGAGGGAAAAGTTCTGTGGAGGTGGAGGGCCTGGTTCCTAATGTGCTGACAAGACAACTCAGAAGAGAACCTGAGCAGGAGGGCAGTGACACTACAAGTGGGACAAAATTTAGAATCTAGAAACATCCTGGGAGAGGAAGAGAAGCTTGAAATCTTCAATTCCACAAGAAGATTTTAAAAGGACCAAGGTAACTTGGATGGAAATAGGACTTCCTGAAAGTGACTCACTGAGCTCTTTTCCTCTGGCTCCTGGACTTCCCATTCCAGAATCCTCTGGTGGAAAATGACTGAGCAGTCTCAGATGTATGGGAATCATGTTTCCTCTCCCACCTCTGGGAGCTGCCCACCCATCTTTTCTATTTGGTGTGTGTGTGTGTGTACATGCACACAACTTGAACCTTGGTGTTTGTGTAGTGGTCTGAGTCAGTTCTTCCACCTTTACAAGCGTTCTGGGGATCAAACTCAGGTTGTCAGGCTTGCCTGTCACGTCCTGTACTGGCTACCACTTCACCAGCCTCTACTCATCTGTTGGAGAGAAAAGTCACCTACCATCCCTAAGCTGCTCTAAAGTCACCACTTGGCCCGTAGGACATTTAGATGCCCACAAAGTCCTCAAAATACTTTGTAAATTCACCTGCAGTATCATCTTCATAAGGTTACCTTATCAGCTCCTTCTCATGCTTCTCCAGTTCACCTGTGTATTGAAAGGTCTCTGCAACCAGTCCTCATCCCTCTCAGCTCTGCCGACAGTCCTTCCACACCCCGGAAGCTGTCCTGTTACCGTCCCCTCTAGTCTGGCAGGACAGCCTCCTCTCACCTTCCCTTCCCCTGCGCCATCTGGACAGTTCCCAATCCCCACCTCCACCCGCACCTCATCCACCAGGATCCTTCTTCAGTTTTTGCATGATCTCAGCAAAGACCCCCAATCCCTTCCCACATGACCACCCACCATGCTTACGAACTGAACCCTCAGCAAGGGCGTGTGTTCTCAGCCTGCACTTGGAGCCCACCCTGCCCGTCTCTTCAGGATGCAGCACAGGTAGCTGAGGTTTTTTGGTTTCTAAGGTCCTCCTCATCAGCTCCCGAGCTCCCGTGGGGCAGCAGACTCACTCCAGGGCTGCAGGACGCAGTTGGCGTGGAAAGCGCTCAGCACGTGTGTGTGCGTGTGTGTGTGCACGCGCGCGCAGTTGTGCATCTCGTTCAAATTGTGAAAACTCTGCCGCACACTTCATTTTTGCATTGATAACGGTGCTAGCCAAGGGCGGGGGTCGGGTCTGGGGTCCCAACAACTCCACTTCAGGCCAGAAATAGGATGATGGATGGCAATATCCGCCAGAAAGCTGCCAAGGCCCGTGTGGAAGGAGCAGTTTCCTAAGCTGACAGCCTGGGTGCCTGGAACCAGACGTGGGGGCAAAGGGTAGAGGCCTGAAGCTGAGGGCAGGGAGAGGTGCCAAAGTCGGTCCGGGTCCGGGTCCGTGCACCCCCGCAGGAGCTGCCGGCCCCGGGCTGGGCAGGATGTGGTGGCAGCTGCAGCAGGGTGGGCAGGATGTGGGGGTGGGGGCAGCTCAAACGCAGCCCGACCGTCGTCACCCCGGCTCCTCCCTCCTTTTGCCCTCCCTCCACCCCCTCTCAGTCACGTGCTCCCAGCCTGGGCACCGACGGACTATTTCTCATTTTCGGCGGAAGGACATTTCAAACTCGATTCCGACTTCAGCTGTGCCATGCCATTTTCTGACCTCTTAGCCTAGGACAGAAACTTTGTCCAATCCACATTTCTGTAAAGCGCGTATCTTTAACTCCGGAGAGGCCTCTTTAAATGCAAATGAACCGCCTTCTCCATCAACTCCCCCCACCCCCACCCCAACTTAGCTCCTCGTGCCCAGACTCCACCAGCTGCTATTGACGTCAGGCGTGCGTCAGCGTCGCCAGCCCAACCAGACAGCCTGTGGGGGGAAGTAGGCAATCTTAAAGGGCCTGCGCCTGCGGAGTTACCTCTGTTAGATTTGGCCTTGGAAATGAAGACTAAAGTGGGATGTTTGGAAACTGTTGGAGCAGGAAGAAGTGCTGGGTAGACGTTAAGGACTTAACAGGACCGGCGGGATGGCTCAGGGGGTAAAGGTGTTTGTTGAACAAGCCTGGAGACCAGAGTTTCATCCTCAGAACCGTAAAAGTGTGAAAGTGGGAGAGAGCCAACTCCACAAAGTTATCCTCTGACCCTCCCACACATCATTTCTCTCCTGCACGCATGCAATAATAATGAATTTTAAAAATTAAAGACTTTACAGAGTAGGGGGTATATTTTTTCTTTTTCTTTACTCTTTAGAATTTATTTTTTGTGTGGGTTGTGTGGGCACATGTGACAAGGTTCACATGTGAAGGTCAGAGGACAGCCTATGGGAGTCAG